ATGTAAAGGTACAATTCCCAATGAGAAATGTAATTGTGTTGTATACCTACAATGTACCAATAAAAGAATTTAATTAAAAAAAATAAATTAGTGTGATCTTTATGGTTCTTTGTTTCCAGGTATTTCATTTCCGGCTATTTCAGATTTTAGTGGTAGAAATAAATGGTACAAGTTCTAGGCACTTTTCCAAGACAATTGAGAATATGCTACCTACTCTTCTTCAATGAAACAAATAGAATTTCAGAGCAAAGGAAAAATTATACAGAAAATAAAATGGTGTAGGAGAATAAAACTGAGGACTTTGTTGAAATTAATTCATAATTATGTGAAATCAAAATGCATTCCATGAAAGACAAAAATCTGGTCACTTTAGCTCTTTCTAAAATTTAAAAAGTCAATGAATAACTAGGGTTTATGGTGAGAAAAACCCTTTTTGTTCAAATAATGAAAATTAAAATGCCCTACATACTTGCATCGGGTGAGAGACTTCTGTAAGATTTCCTAGAAAAACTTAATTGAGATAACTCTTATTTCAATTTTTTTGGCAGGCAGGGAAGGGGGGTGGGTATTAAGACCATGAGTTTTATTTTCATCTTTCTTAAAAAGGTAAATCCCAGGAAATTCTACTATAAATTCTCCAGAACTGTAGGACACAACTGAATTTTAAGTAAGTTGAAGCCTACCTTCTAGCAGATTCCTACCTTTAAAAATTCTAAGAGGATATGAATTCTACTTATACAAGCCTCCATCATTCTGATGTTTTAGCAACCCCCCGATACACAATTTCTTCAACATATGGAAGGAAAACAACTTTCCTAAAATTCTAGGGCTTCCATAACCAAATTTAGAATTCAATTTTGCAGCTATGGATCCTAGGGAATAAAGTTTCCAAATCTAGTCGCTTGAGTCAATTACAGAGAGCATGCCATGGAGGCTACAGTTGGTTATGTACAAAAAGCCCCAATGAGATGAAATGGAACACATCTCTATTCAAAAACCGAACTTGAACAGCCCTCCCTGTAAAGTATGATAGGAATGATGTTGCTGATGACAAAACCCCAGTTACCTTCTCTGGTCATCAGGATGGCTCTTGGGTGAAAACCTGGTTGAGGGGTAATAAATCATCAAGCTACCTAGACCAATAGTCCAGAAAACTAGAAAACAGGCCTCTCTCCTCATTCTACCTGATACATGTATCCAGCCCAATTCAGACTTCAGGGGCACTTTGTCAATGAACCAGCCAGTAAGGCCTGGAAGAACATAACATGGTCACCTGTGAACTGTGGTGCCTTAGGCTGCCCCTTCAACACTCAGGTCTCCCTGGCTTCTCCCCATAGTTACCACACACCCATGAGCTCTACAAAGAGCAGCAGCTGACAAGGAGTTGACAGCTAACTTTCCTCCTTGCTCCCTGTGCAGGGCTCATTACTTGTATGAAGAACAGGTATCAACTCAGAAAACACCATGCTTGTGCCCTGAGAGACCTCAGGTCTCATTAAACAGAACACAGATTATTAGCACTCATCTGAGGGGGATCAGGACTTATTTTACTGGTAGAAGGTGTCTCATCTTGGTCTCTGCAAGATGTTAGGTCTGCCTTTCCTGACTCACAGGATTTCTGCCGCCTGCAGGCCCAACAGAAACACCCGAGCCATGTCTGAAAGCTTTCGGAAACACTGGAGGAGAAAAGCTTTTTGCAAGGGTGAAAGAACTGGTAGAACACAAGCATGAAGAGAACAGCAGTGCAGTACCCAACAAGCAGCTGCAGAATCAACAGAGGCGCACACACATACATGTAGATGTCAGTCTTGAATAGATACCATAGGAGCAGGAGGATGGCATTCTCTATGAACCTTGTCATGTAGTACACCAGTAGCCGGTACCAGTTCTGGGACTTGCTGATGAGGTCAGGGTTGTTGATTTTCAGCTGTACAGCTGACCAGCAGAACATGTTGATACCAGCATACAGTAAAGTGAGGAAGCCCAGCACAATGGCAGTGCCCACCCGACTGAGGGCCTTCTCTATGTTCTCAGGAAATGGGGAGCCACTGCACCAGAAGAGGATCCAGGGATACAAGAAGAAGCTGAAGAAGTTGACAAGAATGACAACCACCACCCAGGTCTTCATGATGGAGGTAAAGAGGACCAGGACGATGACTCGAGTAGCAATCTCAAAGCTCCTCCAGAGGAAGATACAGACATAGGCCAATGGCTTCACTTTGACTTCATACTCATCGTACTTGATTTTGATGGCTAGGATGTTGCAGCGCAAGGCTCCATAAACAATGGACAACAGGGACAAGGTCATTAAGAAGCCTGGAGAGAGAAGAGAAAGAGCACTGTCAAATCTTGCCTCTACCAGGAACCCCACCGTGGCAGACATTCTGTCAGTCTCCTGTCCATAGACATTGGACTCATTGTTTTTCATTCACAGGTTGACTTCCAGCTGTCAATACCTACATACTATGCCTAAAGACTGTTTCAGAAGCCTGCTCTGACTACATTCCTGGAGGGATGAAGTGCCAAGGAATTAATGCCACACGAGAGCCCTCAATACCCCAATTCCATCCTTGATAAGAACTGGAATATAAATACCCTAAGTTGCCTATTATTTGGCTGAAATGACTCTGAGGCATGTGTTTTATACCATTTCCCAGTAATTCCTCATAGGATTAACTTCTAGCCACCCATTGTGATAATTTGTCAAATAATGCTTCCTTTATTGGCTGTCCTCCCTTCCCCATCTCATTTTTCTTCTTCCGTGGTCCTTAAACCTTCCCTTCAAAATACACGGACTCAAAGCCTTCTCTCAGGGTCTGTTTCAGAGGCAATTCAAATTAAAACACCTTCCTGACCCCATCTTGGTCTGGATGAATATGCTGAGTCCTATGCAGTTTGTCTATAAGCTTCTGGGGAGTCAAGACCAGACATGTCTGATGTTTCTTTTTGATGCCTCTCAACACACAGAAGTAGTAGGTACAAAATCAGAAGGCATTCAACAATAGATTGATCAGTATGCCAGTATGCAGGCACTTCTACACTTACATACTGACTACAGAATGTCCACCCTGTGGAATTCTTAAATTCTGCAGAGAGCTGAAGAAATGAGAATCTGTTACTGACAGTCTATCTATTTTGGCCAAAAGGCTTTAGCATTTTGAGAAGTTTTAACTCTAGCTCTTTATTCCTTAAAATGACTTATGGATAATAAGTTGATGTAGTATGTATAAGCAGTGTATAAGCATATGTATGTATAAATTTGGGGAGACAAGATAGCCCACTTAAATTAATCATGGTATTATGTTCCAGAGCATAATACTCTGGACCTTGAGTTCTGTTAGCTAAGAAATATACAGTGGAGCCTTGGTTCATGAACTTAATTTGTTCTATGATTTTGGAAAAGATGGTGATGTTTGTGTTCATGTGGGATAGATGGCTGCAGTCCTGTTTTCACCTGATGCAGAGTTTGCAAACAAAAACAAAATTTTGCCAAATGCTTCTATTTGTGAACCAAATTGTTTGCAAAGAAAAGTGTTTGGGAACTGAGGTACCACTGTACCACCAACCTATGAGCAAAGACTGTGGTCAAAGCAAATAAAATCACTCACTACAAGCTTCTACCACTTCTACCTAATGGCACAAAGAGAGATGGGAGGCAAAGCTTTGAATTAGGAACTAAGAATCTTGCTGTGGTTTGACTTTCGGCAACCCTGTCTACTTTGGGAAAATGGCAATCTCTCTGGACTCTGTTTTCTCACCCAGAAAATTGGAATGATAATACCATCCAATGTTTGAGATTTCGGTCAATATATTTAAGTTGTAGAACATGTTTATATATATATATATATATATATATATATATATATAAATAAATATATATATATATATATATATGAAATAACAACACAGTAACTATAGTTAGCTAATTAATATATCATCACCTCACACAGTTACTATTTTGTGTGGTGAGAATACCTATGACATATTCGCTCAGCAAATTTCAAGTATACAATTCACTATCAATAACTACACTCATGATGTTATACTTTAGGTCTTAGAACCTATTCATCCTACCTAACTGAAACTTTGCATCCTTTTGACAATCATTTTCCCATTTCACCAATCCCTACATCCCCTGGTAACCAACATTTTATTTTCATGAATTTTGCTGTTTTAGATTCCACAGATAAGTAAAATCATGCAGTATTTTTCCTCCTATGGCTAGTTTATTTCACCTAGTGCAATGTTCCTGTGTTCATTCATGCTATAACAGATGGCAGGATTTGTTTCTTTTAAAAGGCCAAATTATATTCCATTTTAATAGGTGTATAGTGGTATCTTGTTATCACAAATTGTATTTCCCCATCGACAATATAATGGGGTGGATCTTTTAAAGTGCTTATTTGCTATCTGTATATCTTTTTGGTTAGGTGTCTGTTAAGGTCCTTGGAACATTTTAAATAATATTTTTTCTTATTTTGGAGCTTTAAGAATACTTTGTAAATTATTAGACATCTTTTGCAAGTATTTTATTCCAGTCTGTTGGAAATAATCTCTTTTTATTCTCCTGAAAATGTCTTTTGCAGAACAGAAAATTTTAATTTAATGAAGTGCAGCTTATCAATTATTTCTTGCATGGATATTGCCTTTGGTGTTGCAGGTAAAAAGTCATCACCCACCCTATAATCTAGGTTTTTTCCTATTTATCTTCTAGGAGCTGCAGAGTTCTGAATTTTACATTTGGGTATCTGGTTCATTTTCAGGCAATTTTTGTGAATATTGTAAGGTCTGTGTCCAATATTTTCTTTTGTATGGGGATTCAGGTTATTCTCGCTCCAATTTTTTAAAAAAAGATTATAATTTTTCCACTGTATTGCCTTTGATTTTTTGTTGAAGATTAAATACAGTTGACTATATTTATGTAGGTCTATTTTTGGGCCCTCTATTCTGTTCCATTGATCTATTTGGCAATTCTTTTAACATTACTGCACTGTATTTATTATTGTAGCTTTATCCATGCCTACTTCTTTTTTAAAAAAAGTAATTCCATGTAATTCTATTCATGTAACAAAATTGTCTCTGCCTAAATGTATAATTTAAAATATACAAGAACAAAGGTATTTTTTCTTATTTGACTTCTGAATCAATGGAAAAACATCTATGCATATTTGGTAGGCATATAAATTCTGCAGCTTTGGCATTTATTTGCCTGAAAAAAGCTCAATTTTATTAAAAGCATGAACTTTTCTCATACTCCTTGGCACTGACTTAATTATCAGTATCATTCACTAGAAATACCAGCTTCTACTAATCAAACTTAAAAGATAGAAACACCATCACCAGAGTAGACTGGTAATTAGAGTGTTATTTTTCTTGAGAGGCTAATTCAGCAGCACACTCTAAAGCAGAACATATCAGTGATATACTTTTATATGTGTGGTTACAAATTCCCAAACCTTAAGGGTCCAACATTGAACCTTTTTCTTTCAGTCCTTAGGATTTCTGCACTATAAGAAAAATATTTTAAAAACAAAAGATGAGCTAAATATGAATGATTAGAATGGAAATTATGCAGTCATACATATACAGTATTTATATTGTTATATTTATCATATTGTAACCACAAAATATTTATTGCTTTTAACAATACAATAAATTAAATATTTTTCAGCATTTATTCATTTTGTTCTTATAAGGCCAATTTTTCCAAAGTACATCTTTTTTCTCTAGCAAGAGAATTAAGCAATTATTACCCAGTAGGTGTTTGGTAGTAATCAACCACAGAATTTTGAGAATGCAGAGAAATTATCTTGAAATGCCTGATTTCAATCACATCACGCTCACTGTTGGGTGCTCACTGAAAAATATCACAGAGAGAAATGGGGCCAGGAAGGGAGATACACTTGGGAGACAAGAAACTTGTACAAAGTGCTTTGCCATGTACATTTCTACCTCCAGAATTTAGCTGTTAGCTAATGATTAACTTGAATGATGCCCATGCAAATAACTATTTATTCATACTTGAGTGGAGAAAGTTCTCTTACATCACATTCCAAATTTATCTTCCCACAGTCAGTACAAAAGGGGATCAGTTGGCAGCCCTGCTTATTTAAGTGGTATCTTAGAGGCCTAACATCCTCTAAGAAGACTTGTTATTTCCCAGGTGCGTATATAGTAGGGCATTTTGTTGCTTTCATCTTCTATCATAAGGAAAGACATCACTTTAGGTAAAGCTAAAAAGGAACACTTCAGCAATATTCCAAACCCCTGCCACACTCCTAAAGCTTCCTCCTACTCATTCCAGGCTAATGGACTCTTGAATGAACTCTTATTTCACAGAGAAATTGTCACTGGGTACAAGTTTGCTCATATCCTGACTTGCCACCAAAAAACTTGATCTCTATGGAAGGAGATAAAGAATATTTTCTTTCACAGAATTCTGCTTAGGAAGGGAACTCTACTTATAGAATAATAGGGACAGTTTCTCAGTTGCTTTCAAGAGATAATGGAGGTGGCCTGTGTAATGGAGGATGGTAGGTGGTTGCTCTCTGTAATGTCATTGCTCTCTGCAGACACTGTATCTTCAGTAAAATCACTGAACTCATTAAATGTTTGGGCGCAATAGACTTTTCAAAAAATATTGAATGGGCTGGGGATTCAGCTCAGTGGCACACGCCTGCCTCTTAAGCACAAGGTCCTGAGTTCGATCCTCAGTACTGCAAAAAAATTTTAAAAAATTTAAAAATATCGAATGATTTTGAGGGGACAACTGCGGCAGACTGAAGGGATGTGGAATGTAGTGAAAGAGGGAAACTGGAGAAAGCTTCCGCAAATTGGAATTCTTCTGGGAGGCAGTGACTTTTTTTTTCTTCTCTTAACTTGATAGATTTTTAAGTATCTTTCTTACTATCTGGAACTAGGATCTTCACCTGTACTACTACATTCCACCACTTGCCTCCATCTCAAAAACCTTGCTCCATCAAACATCATCTTTCTTTTCCAAATTTTCAATTGCTCTCTCAATCCTGGCTGTTTTCCTTGGGTGCATGAAACTGCCTATGTCAGCTGAATTTACAAAAAATAATTGTACGTTGGAAAATTTCTACAATAACAAGGAAGGAAGGAAGGAAGGAAGGCAGGGAGAAAGAGTGGGAGTGAGTGGGGGATGGAGGGGGGGAGGAAAAGAAGAAAAGGGAAAGGAAAAGTGAAAGGGAGAAAGAAGAAGCCTTCCTTTTATTCTGCATGTCCTTCTGTCTACTACTACACTCTTTTTGAAACTCTTCATCCAATTCTCTTGAGTTGTCTCTAATCAAAAC